TGTTTGCATGATTAAAATTGAAACAAAGCTGATGGTAGACATTACTGTTAATGCATGATATTATTAACTACACTGACTAATTTTGATCATCCTTTTCTCCCAAACACTCCATACTTCCAAAAATTTGTCTGGGATCGGTTTATCTATTTACTTATTGATGTCCTGATCCCATATTAATATTGGATATCGGTTCGATATTACCCAAAAAAACTAATATCTGATTTTATCGTCCGGCATCTAAAATCTCACATATTTTCACACTGATAGAAACTCTGCTTGTTTTAAAAGTTCCTGTAACTCATTTAATAATTTTCATAGGTCGGTTATTTTCATGCCTTTGGTTTATTGACTCTTGTTTTATTCATATCACTTGGGGAAGCCTTTCTAACATTTTACAATGTAAAAGAAGCAATAAACGGCGATATGATTCATGCTGATGTCACATTGGGTCAGAATTTGTATTTGCAAATTCTCAAAGCTGCAATATCCATATCGTATCGGAAATGAACAAGTTCCAAACATCTTTGAAATAAATGTTAAATAGGATGCAGTGGCATACTTTGACCACAAGGAGGCCTTATTGTACAGCTAACAGCTGAATGGCAAAATAGGTGATTCCTAGTTTTGATTAGGTATATGCATTTAAAAAAGAACATTAAATGTTTCTCCCACATTTTCTAACATGAAGGAACAAATATTGTTGAAACAATCTGTTTAATCAATTAAGTTATTCAAATGACAGATTTTTTTATATCTTTTTTTACAGCTACATATGTTTATTTGTGAATATGAATTTGGAGGTAAAAGTAAAACAAGTACAAGAGTGGGGAGATAGTTTGCTTTCATTTAGATAACTAAATAAAATCTGGTTTTGCAGTTTCCTTTTCCAGTTTTAGCTGAATAATAAGAGTTTCTCCTGGTTTTATTGTTTTGATTTGTTTTCAATTTTTCTCATTCCAGGCACTACCCTATAGGAGTTCTGTTTGATCTTCATGCCTCCAATACAGTCTTACCCTGGAACATCACTGTGCACTTTAAGGTAGGAGTTAGTCACATTGTTAGTGTAAATACTAAACAAAGGAAGTGCATCAAACCCACAGTTTCATCGAAGCTAACGCCATTTCTTCTCAGCTCAGTCAAATCAGATGTAACGCAACACCCATGCCTAATACAGAATAATGAAGATTATTTAAAAGGGTTTTGTGCAATATAAATTGTTATTAGTTACTAAAAATGGTTTGATTTTTAGGTCATGCACAAACTAACTGCTGCCTCTGAATTTTCCATTTTGGAGGCGTTTAGTCTTTTTTTGCTATAATTGTAATTCAGCCCTTAATGAAATGTGTGACTGTTTGGCAGAATTTCCCAGACAGGGACCTGCTGCACTGCTCGTCCAACTCCGTAGTGGAGGCTCACTTCATGTCCAGCATCAAGGAGGCGGACGCCCTCAAGCACAAGAGCCAAGTCGTCAATGACATGCAGAAAAAAGACCACAAGCAGCTGTGGATGGGCCTGCAGAACGGTAAGATGCATGTGTACACTGAGACCACAAGCAGCTGCAAGGG